GGGAGGGGGAGCAGGACGAGGGTTTGTAAACTGGCAACTTCCACAGTATGCTTCCCAGGAAGTTGAGATTGTTTCAGAATGTTACCAGGTTTGTTAATAATATTATTATAGTTTGTAAAGCACGGCATAGAGTTTGCTATTGAGCGAGAATTTGCGCAGTACGAATTCTATCTATTATTTTGTGTTTTTTGTAGTGGTTTTTTGTTGAGGTGGGTCTTCTATTTTTTGGTTTGACGCTTGTGATTTTACGCTCCCATCGGCACAATTTAAATGAAATATTATAGGATGCAGATTTCGAGCATGCTAGCCTAAGTTAACGTAGGCTGGGAGGGATACAAAGTCCCAGCAGAAAGGCCGAAATACTCGATAAAAAGTTCTAGGCACTCGAGAATCGAAATTGGGTCTCTTGCGTGAGAGGGCGAAACGCCTAACCTCAACACCACAGACGCCAGTATGGTTCATTAATTATAGTGGAGGGGGTCGAGTGAAAACCAGGTTAAGCCACTTTAATTTCACCACGACTTGGCCTATTGCTCATGTATTATGATGCAATTGGCTTGTTTTTCACTTGACTTGCTTTTAAGAATAACATTTCATTTTGTCAACACGTTTTTGGTTTTTTTACTTGATTGATTTCAAAGGGATATTCTTCGTTACTTTAATAGAGCTTGAATTTTACGCACTCGTTGTGTACAGCCCGACAGTTTAGCTAGAGAATAGCATAGCTCTGCTCATGCTGTTTACTGGCAAAACGGAACCTATATCACAAGCAAATCTTCCATGATACAATTACTGTGGTCTTTGAATGGATAGGACACGTCTCAATTTGGTCCTCTGCCTCCCGTTTCACTCTAAAATATTTCTCTAGGGCATGGCACTTTTCACCTCGCATTATAAAAGACAATCATTAGAGCTGATGTGCACATCGTCTTAAGGATCGTCAATTATTCAAATTTATACTCGCCTGTCTTTACATCACAATTCTATTGCAGCGGCATTCGTATTTGATTTGAATTATTTTCCACGCATGTTGGGGGGATGGGGGGGGGGGCAGCATTTCGTAATTTCATTCATCTCATAGTTCTTTCACGTTGCTGGAACAAGAAGAAAATATGCAGATTCAATATCAGTTTTAATCATTTCTCTATTATATTCTTTTTCCACAGATGGAGAAGTATGCCTTACTACCGAGTGCGTTTCTGCGGGTAAGTACACTCACAGCTTAACCCTTCATAGCCTAACCAGCGTTGTAAAGTCATACAACCGTTAAACGGTCTCAACAGAGACAGTTAAAGATTTAATGCTTATAAAATACTTTGCTGAATTGTGTATATCCCTGGCTTTTCCTCCATTTATATATTTTAAAAAACCCCACATTGTTACGAAATACATAGTTATACACTTTCTCAAACCCTGTGTTTAACTTTTGATAGAGACAGGGAAACACTATAACAAATGTTAAGAGAATTATGGGTTTCAGTGTAAATGTGAAGGCTCTACAAAGCAGCGTAATTGAGATGTATATCTTACACAACTTTGTTCCTGGTAAAGTGACTGTGACCGGTGATTTGAATAAGTTGTGTACAGCAAAATAACACCATCAACAATAGTAATAATGATAAAATTGATAAAAGAAATAATGATGATGATGATGATGATGATGATGATGATGATGATGATGATGATGATGATGATGATGATGATGATGATGAGGATGAATGTAATGATGATGATGATGATAATGCTTCTACTACTACTACTACTAT